TGTTGCACATCTTGTTCTTGTGTTGATTTTATACATGCTTCTAAGCTTATGGAGTTCAATGTACCCTCATCAATTGCTTTTAAATTTTCAATGTTTTTGTATGCATCTTTCTTCACCATTTCAACCAAATTCTGTAAAATAAGCACAAACATATTCACTATTTTCCTTCAAATATAACAAAAGAGTTATTACATATTATCTAACTCTATGTATACCTTCTGGATGGGTGTGAGCCTGAGATCATCTGGTAAATAAAACTTTTGTGTATCAAATGTCACACCAACAAGTTCATAGATCACATTGAATAGAAGCAGTATTGGTTCTCGAATTATCTCATAGCTATAAAGCATGTAATCATCTACAACACACGACCGGGCATGTTCGATAATATCAGACCAGCATTTCTTCTGAATTTTTCCAAATTTCTACATCTCAACAGAAAAAACATTCAATTAACTTTTCCATTGAACACAAAGATTTCACTATTTTTTGTCATCTGATGAAGTTGATTCAATTTAAAAAGTAAAGTAAGTAATGTCGATCGTTAAAGAGAAACAATGATTTACCTCACGTAATGAAGATTCATTGGTTATGAGTAACCTCAACAGATCCTTAACAGTATGAATTCCGTTGCTACGGAGTCGGTCACGGAATGGTCCTTTTTCAGAAATTTTCTCCAAACGCCACACATCATCCTTCAAGTATGGAGGATAATGTTTCTTGTAAGCTTCAATGACCAAACCAAAACACATGTTAAAAACAAAAACAAAATCACGGCAACAAAAAAAAAACATAAGCGAACAATTAATAAACTCACCTTCTCCTCTTATATCCAAGACCGTAAAAGCTTGACTTCTACCTTCCTTAATATTGTCTCCATTTTTCATAGCTTTTGCTCCTAAACTGAACTTTCCGCTTTTTACCCAGCTAGAGTTATCATTGAACATAATTTTAGAAATAGAAGCAACTCCATTTTCAAGAGTAACAAACGTATCTCCAACCAACAATGGTTCTTTATTCTCTCTTTGATGCAAGATATTATCATTGAACTCAGTTTGAATCCAATCTTCATCATCACAAGATTCAAACTTTCCCTGGATGGGACAAATCTGTATCTTTATTGAAGAGAAAGGACCATAGTTGACTATTGACTTAGATCTAACATCAAATAATGCAACTTGAAATGGTTCATCCTTTGGAATTATATTAGTTTTAGTAAAAGTCGTATTTGGCAACTTGTTATTATCAATAAAACACAACTCTAAGGATCTGGCTCCAGATCTTCCACCTTCATTAATCTTTTCTCTGCATCAACAAAAAAAAACATTAGATAATGTAGTAAAATTATAATCCGTGACGTAGGTTAATAGTTTTGATATGAAAAACAAACCTTGTAAATAAGTGCTCTTGGAATTTTCTTTCAACCCCATCTCTTATCACTCCTCGAAAGAAGGATTCCATGATTTTTTCAAGGCCACTAGACAGAAAAATGGACAAGATTAAATTAATAAAAGTGATTACAAACCAAACAAACACCAAAACATAAGTATATAATATACCTATTTGATGCTTGTTTTGTAACACCCAGATTCCATTTCGACCCATTACTAGAAATCCCAGGAAATTGATTATCAGATACCATCCCAAAGTTTTTCTTAGATCTCAAAAGATATTCTTTTAACTATAACTAGTAAAGAAATGATACTCTCTCAACTCACATAAACTTGTTCCAATCAAAAATGAAAAAGGATTTACAAGAATAATTTGAGGTAAACGTTGCTTTATCACTCAGACATGCATGCAGGAAGAACACAGGAAGCATCATCAGCAGTGAAAAAATAGGATACGCTTACTCCGTGTGATGAAGTTATGTCATATTTTCCCTATAAAATCCAAGAAACTACAAATAATCATAAAATAATCGAACTTCCAGAATTTCTTCCACTTTTCACGCATCCCTTCTTAATAATATCATTTTTTTTCATAATTTATCATTATTATAATCAATAATGATAAATTTTTAAAGTTCTATCTTTTATTGAGCCTAACATATTAACATAATAACCTATTGTTATGGTCCATTATCATTTTGTTAAACTATTGTTTATTCTTTACTTTATTTTTATACAATGCGAAATATTTTATAAAAATATATATTTTAATCAAAATAGGTTTATTGTTTTTGCACTAATTAATTATTTTTTATTTTTCATTGTAAATATTTATTGTTATATAAGTATTATCTTACAATAGTCGAGTCAAGTGACACAAAGAATGGTAAGGAACTCAACAAAATACAATAGCACAATCAACTGTCACAAGGAATGTCAAACAAAAAATAAAAAGACAAAAGGTAAAGGAAAAGGGGTAATGAAAACACTAAACAAGTCACTCTCCACAAAGGACACAAGTCATTGAACCTCAGTTTTTTTCTACTCCCCATCCATCTCCTAGTTATGCTTTGTTATGACTCGGTTTGTTTCTGCTATGTACAAACTCAATCCTCCACTATCTTATTCTTGTCCCATCATTGAGAAATCTAAGATTATTAAAACCATTACAAATATTTTGACTAGTCCATAATATATCTTAGATTTAAAAAAAATCAAAATAAAAGTTTCAAAAGAGAGAATAGAAACCATAATACCTTAGGTTCCTCGGCTTTTACTCGTGGAGATTGTTAATTTTCTATTTCGCCGTAAGAAGAAAAACAATAAGAAGATAAAGATTCCAGCAAGAGCAGAAGAAGTAATCAATGCTAGTAGAATTCTCTTATTCAAATTTTGGTGATGCACTATTCTAACATCTTGATTTCCTGTATCATTCATTGTAAAAACAATACATCAAACTCATTAGTCTCGTTAAACCAACTCAGTTAATTGTTGTGCAGAAATATAAGATATATTAAAATTGACATAAAATAAAAATGCTGATGAGTATTTCAAGATTAGAGAGATTAGCTCCCGGATCCAAATTCTCAACCCTAAAATCACTATTTTGATTGAAACTAGAGTGAAGAATATAAATGTCCAAACTATTAGAGACAAACTCAAGCTCAGAGGTCTCTATATAGATAATTACAACAAACATGATAATGGAAGGATATGGCTGGAGTGGGATGAAAATAGAGTTGATGTTAAACATGTAAAAAGTACTAACCAACTAATATATTGTGGTGTTTATGATTAACAGGGTAACTTCCTAAATTGTATGTTTGTTGTATAAATAATTTGTATAAATAATTTGAGATTTATTTTATTTTTCTATTTTAAATTTTTGTCACTAACTAAGAAAATTAGTTTCTATATTTTATGTTTAATTGTGAATATAATTGCGAAAACACATTCTAAATTATATTCTTAATTGGTGATTAATTTTGCAGTTAAAGAATGAAGAGGAGGATTGGCTTCAAGAAGCCATGGCAAGTTTGGTGTATTTATCTCATTCATCTCCAGAAGATATATGACTTAATTAATTAGCATGATCAACAATGCTACATATGATTACTATATAGCTCTTGTGATTAATTATGAGCTTAATTGATTTCTCACAAGGTTTAATTATTATGCTAGCTAGTGTGAAAGGTGAATAGGAAAAGAGAAAGTTTACAATATAGCTAGCTAGTAATTATAAATTAAGTTAGCTATTATGTTACTTAACTTTCATATAAGAAGCTCAAATATTATAGGATGAGGCATATTAATACTCTGAAACTTGCTAAAATATACTACTGTGATGTCTTCAATAATCACTTAATTTATTAATCACATCTCCTAGAATCATCAAGCTCTTGTTAATATATTTTCCTTCACTACGCCAAAAATGATTTTTTGTATCACCTAATTTAATAGTACTTTTAAAAAAAATGCTATTAAAATGGAAAAAACACATTTATAATAGCACTTTTTAATCGGGCGCTATTATATAATACAGACTATGTAATTATGATAGCACTTTGTACCAGAACGCTATTATTAAACTTCTTTAAGATAGCATTTTGTATAAAACGATATTATTTGACTACCTATATAATAGCATTTATTAAAAAGCGCTATGTTATATATAATAATGAATTAATTAATTAATTGATAAAAAAAAAAAACATATTTTCAGAAAATTGGGTTTCCCGCATCCACTCACCGCCAAAAACAAAAACACTACCATTGATTCTCCCAAAAACATTATCTTCCTCTGCTTCCTTCTTAGCCATTGATTCTCCCAACTGATTCACCGCCGTCAAATCTTCCTCTGCTTCCTTCGGTTTTCATTGATTCACCGCCATTAGTCATTGATTTACCACCGTCATCCCTTCCTTCGGTTTTCACCCGGATCCATTCTTCAGCCATCGGATTCACCATCGATTCAGATTCAGATTCACTTCTCAAACGACACTCAAACAGAAGGAGGAAACACCGAAAAGAAAGAACAACCAAATCTCATTCTCCGTCGAACTCAACCCTTTGTCATCTCACCTACGTCGTCGTCATCCCTCTCTTCATTTGTATCTGGTAATATTTCTTTTTTCAGTTTCTGCTATCCGTTGATTCTCTGTGTTGTTTGTGAGCGTTATGATGTCTTTGTGTTGACGGATATTCGTGATTTTGAGTAGCTGTAATGAGGGTTTGTGAGGTTAAGTTGCAGTTGTGAGGGTTCGTGAAATTTGAGTGATAAGGCCTGTGTTATTGATGTGTGCCTGAATGGTGAGAGATGAGCTGGTTATTGATGTGAGCAGTTGAGAGATGAGTGTTTGAGTTCATGATTTCTCTTCCTATGATTGGTCACTGTGGGGGGGTAATAGGTATCAACTTCAAAATATAATATGCTTGCTGATTTGGGTATTGAGATATTGTTCTGTAAAAATTTATTTCATTATCATAAAATGGTGATATTGTTCTGTAAAAATCTAACGTTTTTTTTCTTTCTTTTTTCAGAACCGCAATCGAATTGTGAGCTTCATAGACTGTGAATGATTGAATTCGAGTTTGGAGTTTCAAGTTGAGATGACGAGTCCGTTAAGGGAAGACGAGAAACACGAGCGCGCGATTCGAGCTCTTCTTAGGCTCGAACCCAATCGAACATGCATTAATTGCAACAGTTTGGTAAGAACATGCATTGTACAAGATATTGCTGAGAAAACTAGAGAATCAGAGATTAGGAAGTAGAAATCGAGCAATGTGATTCTTGATACTTGAATTAGGAAGAATGAGTTTAGTTTCATAATTATTACAATTAGCTGAAACTACAAGATTAATCTAACTATAACAAAAATTAATTATCTGCAACGGAATCACAAATACATAATAAGTGAAACAGTCTACTAAGATGCACATTCGATTCTATCAAATTTAGAAGCTATTGCTCAGAAAAACTAGAGAATTAGATAAGAGATTAATTTACAATTACATTCTATCAAGCTTGTCCGTGATACTCGAATTGAATGAGATAAATGTGTTAGTGTCATATAGTGCTAGTTTGAAGGTTAACTAAGTATCCGAAATATAACAAAAAAATAACCAAGTCATTAGCTTTAAACTCTTTCGTAGTTAATAGATTTGAATTCGATTTTACTTCTTCGAGCATGTGCATTTATCTACTTTAAATGAATTGCTACTAGCTAACTTTGTAGAATGTCGAATCGGTATGATATGATTTCTCCCATTTATGCAATGCGAAACCGACAAACTTTCCATTTTATGCAATGGTTGAAAGTTGAAAATGTATAAATACTGTGCCCGACACCTATTGTTCTCTATATTCCATGGAAAAATGGGGTCCTTATTAAAGAGACAAATTTGAAATTTTGCTGATAATCATATTTGTATCTGTAGACTTTTATATGTTTAAAAACTTCTAACCAGGTTTTAGAGCATTTTCATTGTATTCTTCAGAATCTAGGAAGGAAATTATTGCATTTGGCGCTATAACAAATCCGTTGCATTAATTTATTTATTTTTATACTTTTGAAGGGACCACAATATGTGTGCACAGATTTCTGGACGTTTGTTTGCACTAATTGTAGCGGAATACAGTAAGTCCTTACAAGAGTTCTGCTTATTGTAATACCTATATTTCAACCATGTGCTTTGAGTTGAATACATGTTTTTATGGTTCATGGTGGCCATTCTTCAAAACTCATGAGGTTTTTGTGGGAATTTACAGCCGTGAACTTACACATCGTGTGAAATCAGTTTCAATGGCTAACTTTACTTCGCAAGAAGTTACTGCACTTCAAGAAGGAGGGAATCAGGTTTCCATGCCTTTTTGTGCGAAAACTTGTGCTGTTTATTTTTTCAGTCTGCATGATATCATATATTTCTTGAAGTTTATTTCAGCTTTATCTAATACTTGCAGCGTGCAAGAAATGTTTATTTTAAAGAATGGGATGGACAACAACATTCTTTCCCTGATAGTGAGTAAGTACTTGCTTGTACGTTTTAATATATTGTTGCAGAGTGCATTATTCATTTATTCTGTCATATTTGGTGCCAGTAATGTTAACAGGCTCCGAGACTTTATTAAGCATGTTTATGTGGATAGGAGATTCACCGGAGATAGTACCTCTGACAAACGAGTGAAAAACGTAAGATTTCACCCTTTTGGATTTATTGTTTTAAGCAAATATTTGACAGCTTGATATAGGTTCAATTTCAAGTTGTGAGTTATTGCCTTTGCTTTAGAATTGATTGAATTGGTCAGCCAATTCTAACTTCAGTCTTCTCTCTTGTGCTGCATGTTGTTTAGGGTGGTGACAAAGATGGGTCATATGAAAACAGGAGAGTTGAGGAGGGAGGATCTAAAAGCCCTCCATATGAAGACTCACATGAACCTTGTTATAGTGATAGGTCTAGTCCCGGTGGAAGAAGTCCTGGATATGATCAAGAAAGTAGGCAAGTTGGTAACTATAAGAGAAGTCCCGGTCGTCCTCCAGTTATCAATGATTGGCATCGTGAAGAACGTAGAAAATCAGATGGAGATTATAAGACGGAAAGTAAATCCCCTGTGCAAGTCAGAAATATGGGCTCTTCTAGCCCACCTGTGGGCCGACCCGTTAGAGAATTTTTGGGAGAAAATGTAGTACCTCTTAGGATAAGTGGACCTCCCAAACGGAACAATGGAAAAGCTGCCAATGCCTCAACACTGACACAGGTGAAACTATTACTGATGCTACAATGTAATATAAAAACCAATCAAGTCATGCATTCTTGTGTTCTGCCTAATGGCTTCCGGTGTAGGGGGATTGTTAGTTCATGACATAGGACCTGTTTGGATTAGCATATGTGTACTTATCTACTGAAATATATTTTGTGAAACTGTTTGGGCGAATTTATGAAAACAACTTGTGATATTTTTTCATAAAATGATAAAATAATTTTACCTTGTGATATCTTATAAAAACAGTTTCTAATATATACAAAAACAATTTAAAATTATTTTTTCATTTATTATAGAAATAGCTTACGTAAGCTTATAATTCAACACTTATATTGTTAAGAACTTGTGCTATAAGTTGTTTATTCAAACATGCCCATAGTATCAGTTTATATAACAACAACAACAACAACAACTAAGCCTTATCCCACTAGGTGGAGTCAATTACATGGATCAACTTTTGCGATAATGTAGTATCGGCTTATATAACCAAGTTGTCTAATAGTTCGACTTTGCCACTCCCATTGGCCCATTTATTCTTTGAATAATAGTTGAATTTCAGCCGGCGTGTTTGTGTATTTTCCATGCTTCAAGGCCAAAGTACTCTTCTTACGGGGAGTGTATTCCTCTACCTCTAGTTTCAATTAGACTTCAGAGATGTTTGTTTTTTATTTTAACAACTAGAGATATTTTACGTTTTCAATTTACTGTTAAATATATTACTTTCCTTATATTCTTTGAAGTTTTCTTGTAAGATGTGGCTCAGCATTTACAGTTTACTTTGTTTGGCATGAATTGCATTGAGTGATATCATCCATCTCCCCTTTTAGTAAGGTGGCCAACTGGATTTTGTACCCAAATTATACAACAATAACCGTCTGTCCATGATTTCAGAGAACTGCATCCTCCGGTAGCTTGGTATCCAGTAATGAAAGCCAAGTAAATATTAAGCTTGAGACTACTAAGAACCTTATTGATTTTGATGCTGATCCTATTGCTTCCACAATTCCTCAAGCCCAACAAACTAGCGCGCCTCAACCTGTTTTGCAGCCAGGAAATTCCAGTGATGACAATTGGGCCTCTTTTGATATTGCTTCTGAGAAGAAAGCAAATCAAAACACCTCAAATTTAAATCCACTTGAATCCGTACTGTCCCAATTGTCTTATTCGGCATCTTTATCTTCTCATGCTTCGGGAGTCCAAGGTGATACACAAGTTGTAATTGCAGTGTGATAACATCACCAAGAAGTGATGACTCATTTTTTTTATATCTGCAGGACCTATTCCAGCAGGGGCTCTTAGTTTTGGCAGTTTATCATCTTTCCCATCCAATGATGCTTCGATGCCATCTTCCGGACTGGAAGTTGTATTACCTCATAATAATGTAGGAAAGTGGGCTAGTTCGCAGCATCAGCAACCAATGTTCTCTGCTGTAAATAGTCAGGTTTGGATAATGGAGTTGTCATGTCAAATACTGTTGACTGTTTATTTATGATGTAGCATTATTTTCACCATCCTGGAAATATCTTGCAGCCATCGCATGTACCTTCTGTACCCACAGGATAGGGATATCCCAACTCACCAATGCCTCATGCATACCATCGTGCTTCGAAGCCAGCCAATGAGGCTTTTAACAGTATTCTTTCTCAAACTTCTGCTGTAGAAGTAAAACCAAGTGGAAGAACAAAACTTTCTGAAGTAATTGTGACTTAGTTTGCTTCACAACCTCTGCCTTTTGTATACACTTGCATGTGTTTATTGTTTGCCTAACAATTAATTGTGATTGATGCAGGATTTGTTCACTGCAAAACACTCTTCCTTCTCTGCTCCAGTTCAAGGTTGGCAGGCGGGTCTTCCCCAGGGCAGGGGCATCTCAATGCAATATGATAATAATGTGGCGGTACTGTTACAATCCAGAATGATTAGCTTACCAGATTATCTTACTATGCATTTTGTTTTTATGCTCCAAACAGCTTATGATTAATAATCAGAGAGAGAGGACCTTTTTTTTATATTAAAAAGGACATTTCCTTCATAAAAAGTCAACCAAATGGATGCTTTTAATCTGTAACTTGTACAAAAAATGAGTATTTCTCTCATAAATGTGCGCCCTCTGTTACAGCCCATACCAAGTTTTTCGGAGCCATCAAGGTCAACAAATCCATTTGATGTCGGCAGCAAACAAACCCCAGATCAAGACCCAGGTGTATGTGACTTTCATTGATTTATAATATGAGTATGTTTTGACTTAGATGTTTAATTTTAATTTTTGAGTTGGATTTAGAGTTGTCGTATAAATGATTTTAGTATTTTATTGGTTTAGAGGATATGGCACAGAGGTACTGAGTGTTCTTTCTTGGTCTCGAATTTAAATTTTGAAATAGGAAAATACGGAAAAATGACTTATATCTTATTGTATGATTGATTTATAGTTTTCCGTTTCTACTTCAAATTTTTAGATATTCGTAGTAACAATTGTAAGGTGTTTGATATCTAGTTCTGGATCATGAAAAGAAAGTTACACACAATTAAGTGTTTATGTATATTTTGAGAATTTGAATTATATTCTGTTTAGTGTTTATATGCATCTAATAATGGAAATTGTGGTCTATATATTTACAAGTCATGTTCTTGTTAGACTTAATTAGTTCAATTATTGCATTAGTTATATCGATTTATTGTTATTAGTTTATAATAATCATTCCTTATTTTATGCGCTTCTTGTTAGACCCATATTAAATGTTTGATTATTCTTTATATGTTGAATTAGTTTTTATTGTACAATACATAATCAATATTCCTTCTATGATACAGGAAAACAAGAAGCAATTATTTTGCTTAATTAGTGATTGTATCTATGAGTTCAACGCTTTTGGATCATGAAGGTGGTTACTACATGGGATTGTTTTGTTATCCTTTCTTATTTTTTTGGTGTTTTGTTTATAGAATTTGATTGTATGTTTTTGGATTTGGATTGAAGTACTCATAGATGGGCATCTACAAATTTGGCTATGCAAACGCCCTCTTAATATTCTATATGTTATGATATTTGGAAACAATAGGATTTGGTAATTTAAAATGTTATTTGGTATTTGATGGATCATAATATATATGCAATGAGTAACTTAAAGCGTTATTTGTGTTGAATTGAATATAGTTATTTTATATTTACACCAAAAAAAATGATTGTGTAAGAAAAAATATTGTACTGTACTTATTAAAAATATTGTACCAAATATGTACCATTTATTAGCACTTTATTTGAAAGCGCTATCAAACATATGTTATATATTAGCGCTTTTTGTTTAGAGTGCTATAAAAAAACAAACAAAAAACATGCAAAATACTGACTTTGATAGCACTTTAATTAAAACGCTATTATAAATTGGTACTTTAATAGCGCTTTTAAAGTGCTATTAAATAAGAAATATTTACAATAGTGGCGCGGTTAATAGCACTTTTAAGCGCTATCAAAAACAAAAAAAAGCGTTATTAAATAGCTTATTTGGCGTAGTGCTTCTTTCAAATGTACCCCATCAGCTCCGGTCTTTGCAATCCTTTCAGATCCAGCAAGATATACTAAATTCAAGACTGAAACTCGAATAATGTCATTTGAAGAATCATCAGAAGAATTGGAATCTGTCCCTTTACTTTCAATCAACATTCTAAATATGGTATGCAATCTGATAGTTCTAACATTCATATCTGTCTCACCAAAGTGCATATTCTCCTCCCCTTTAAACATCGTCTCGATTATTGTAAATACGTCCTTCACTGCCTGAGGAATCACTCCCGGATCAGTTTCACAACCATTCATAGTGAAAGTCTTGCCACTACTTGTCTTCCCATAAGCAAAAGCAGTCCCGTTGAAGCCATTGAGTGCAGCGAGAATGATATCCAGGAGATATCTGGTTATCATCAAAACTCCTACTCCTGCCAGTCGACATTCGTCCGACTACATTCTTTCTCACTAGTGGCCTCTAAAAATTAGGCACATAACTATTATGTGATTCTCTAAAGTTTCCATCTCTAAGTGGCATCCAAATACTGCTTATCACTGTTGTGGTTCATAAATCGCTTAGCCTCCCTAGTGTCGCTGATGTCATCAACAGAATTTCTTTCATGCAATCTTTTATAAGGCCTTCTAGTTGAATATGAGGATAACGATGGTAATGACTAAGTTTCAACATTACTATGATATGATAACTTGGCAGAATCTTTGGAAGCTTGAATTGGAGTGATTATGTCTGACAAACCTAAACCACCATTTTAGTTACTACCTTTATAGACACCATAAGCAGTGGGTTCTATTGTGGAAGAGCTTGTCAAATGATTGGATGCAGAGCAGCAGTTGGGAAAGGCGGATCACGAGACATGGAGGGTCAACTTCTAGATCCAAACCTGATGGCTGGAGAGACGGTAAATTCGTCGGAGAAACCTCTTTTCGTGACATGACCATGTATCTGTTGTCCAAATTGTATCGAACCGACACTTGCACTTGCTGAAATTGAACTTGTTAAGCTATATGAGTTTGGCATTAGTCCCTTTGCCACCATATGCGCAAAGAGTACCATGGCTTTATCATTTAAACCCTCGCGAGCATAAAATGATATGAGCGTATTCCACGATACAACGTTGCTGTTTCCTATTAAATGAAGAATTTTTTCGCAACTACTTATTTTCCAGCATGCTGCATAGAAATCTATCAGTGCAGGCCCAAGATCAAGATCAGCAGCATCCATTGCATTCCTCAAAACAAAGCAATGAACTGATTTTCCTTCTTTTAACCAACCTAATCTAGCACAGGAAGTCAAAACACTAATCACTTTCACTTCATTGGGTTCCACCTCTGAATCTTGCATCTTAATAAAAACACATATAGCCTCTTCAAAGCACTCATTTTGATTATACGACGAAATCATAGAAGTCCAACAGAAGTACTCCGATCAACAAGAGATTCAAAAATCCCTTTCGCTTTACACAAGTAACCACACTGACTGTACATAACAACAAGAGACTTACTCAAACTACCATCACCAATCATACCTTCTCTGATCACATATCCATGAACCGATTTATCCAACCTCAAGCAACCAGTTTTAGCACAAGCCTCAGCTATACTAAGCAACGTAACCGAGTCAGGTCTAATCCCCTATAAAACCATGGAACGAAACATTTCCAATCCCTCTCTATAAACCCCATTCTCAGCATAACACGAAACAACAGAACTCCAAGAAACCAAATCTCTCAGACACATTTCATCAAACACCTTCTTAGCATCACATAAATAACTTAATTCCCCGTACATTCCAAGCAAAGATGTTCCAATAACGCTGCTTTCGGTACTGATGATCACTCTAGTATATGCTTAGAGTTATTATTTCTTCTACTTAATCGATTTAACACTAGTTATTTTATTGATTCATATTTACTTTTATCCAGTATTGGCTATAGTTTGGTAAACAAATCATTGTAACTACAACTATCAATCCAAAATTTAGAAGGATGAAGAAATTTTACCTTATAGTGGAGATGGTGGTAACGAATCCGAACGAAGCGAGTTGGAGAAGAAGATGAACCACGTGCACGGTGAGGAGGGAGGAGACGAGTTAGACGAAGATGAACAGTTGCTTTCAAGAAGCGCTTAAAGTGGGGTTTTGTATAAAGTGGGGTTTCTGATAACCAATTTAGGGATTTAGAAATTTTTTAATTACCTTAGACAGCGCTTTCAAGAAGCGCTGCTAAAGGTATTACCTTTAGCAGCACTTTAAGGCTTTAGCAGCGCTTTAGTGTAATGCCTTTAGCAGCGCTTCTTGAAAGCGCTGTCTAAGGTATACCTTTTATCACACCTTTAGCAGCGCTTTTAGTAAGCGCTGTCTAAGGTATACCCTTTAGCAGCGCTTATTCTTTTTTTTTTATTTTTTTTATTGAAAACCTATAGCAGCGCTTAGGGAAAGGAAGCGCCGTCTATGGTAAGGCCTTTAGCAGCGCTTTTAGTAAGCGCTGTCTAAGGTATACCTTTAGCAGCGCTTTTAGTAAGCGCTGTCTAAGGTATACCTTTAGCAGCGCTTACTCTAATTTTTTAATTTTTAAAACCTATAGCAGCGCTTATGGCATAAGCGCTGTCTATGTGGCGCTGTCTAAATTCAATTTTAGCATAGTGTATGGATCTTCCTCAACCAGTACTACTAATGTCTTGAACACTCTTCAGAATGGGAGAAGAGATTATTTTGCTTGTTTACGGTATATTGGGTACTATAACCTTTATATAGTATGATGGCCAATTAGGGTTCCCATTATTTCCAAATGAGTCATCCTAACATCCATTCATATTTTAGTCCATATCCAATTATTTAATTAATTAATTAAATAATTTCTAAATAAAATCTAAATAGCCTTTTAACACTATTTGATCACATAATTATTTAACGCACTATATTTGATAAAATAGCTAATATAATTAAATAAATATATTTGGCTACATAATTATTGAAATACTAATATAAGACTGTATTATTAAAATATTCCAAAAATCTTCCACTTGGTCAATATATTTTAATAATTAAATCATAATTCCTTAGGCGTGCATCTAAATGCTATTTATCTTTAGATTTCAACTTTACAACTTGGTCCACCTCATACATCAATAATGGAATCGGCGCAGCTGTCGTCACTAATGTATAACGTGACAGAACCCCGACGATCACAACATAAATGTACTTGATGATCTATACGGATGAGTGACATAGAAATTTCATGCAATGCGATCTCTAAATCATGTATATTTTCAACTGGTCCAACTGAAGTCTTTATTTAGATCAAACTAAAGTTTGCAAATTCAATATTTACACAAACGATACATAAATGGTTATAACATAAATAACCTTATAAACATTATTTCTGCAGATAATCTTAATTGATATTAAAATAATATTATTAAACATAAAGAAGGAGTGACTCTCACTAATCTAAGACATCCTTAATGACAATAATCATATGAAAGTCCTTATATATCAAGTCTTTGATTAGTGAGTCTTTAACTTAAATTTCATATGCATATATTCTAGTTTCAACAATAATAACTTATAAGACAATAAACTTTTAAAACCTATTGTTGAAATAATATATGAATTTCTTACAACAAAATATACCTTGAGTGGTTTTCTCAAAGCCTTATATTGAATTATAAATGAATGACATAAACACTTATCTTCGTTTATTATT